ACTTACTTACTTACTTTTCTTATAAAAAATCTTAAATATTTTTCTTCATTTAAAGCATTAAAATATAACTTGTTGGATCACTTTATTTATTAACAGTAGAGCTGAATTCACATCGAAATGGGCATTGAACAAATAAAAGGCCATCACAAAAAATAAGGGTTCCAAAACGGGGTTTTTGCAGCAATGTTAAAGAGCCATTTTGAGTTCCAGAAAGAACCTTTCAATGAACAGTTATTTTTTCTTATAGTATGCAAAACATTTTAACAATCTTAAGAACTTTAAAGGAAAGTTTGTTAATGGAAAGCTTCCATGGATGTTAAAGATTCTTCTTGGAACCATAGAAGTCAATAAATAACCTTTATTTTTAAGAGTGTATGGTGGTTCGAATGAACCATAACTCCCTGAATGGTTCAAAATGGCTTTTTACAGATCTGTCCACCAGTGGATACCAGTCTCATATGGTTTAATAAATGATCAATGACCTACAGTGTTTAGTTTTATAATGACCTCATTCTGGATTGTCGGTCCCTCGTGTGCAGCGAGTTATTGGCAGTTTTACACACCGTGCTGTGTTGGATGGTTTGAATAGCAATGTGACTTACGAAGGATGACAGTACAGGTTTGTGTGAGATAGGACGTGTTGAGAGATCATCCTAAAACAAACATCTGTCACAGACGCCAAGATTGCATGGTGAAATATGCTGAGGGAGACATTCATCCACAGGGAGAAGAGCACAGAGGAAAGAGTAATTGAATTCGATTAGACGACCCCTTTGTAACATTTCAATTTGCAAGGGGAACAAGTGTTTCATTCTCTGTAATCTAATTTATTGTCTCTTTCTTCATACATTTTTTCTCCTAACTGAGTTGTTTGCATTCACCAGCGTGTGTTTCTGATTTATTTTTTATGTTTCTACTATCTTTCTATGTCTCAGCCTGTTTGGTATTTTCTGAGTGGTCGGTCTTAGGAAACATGAATTTGGGAAAACAGTCACATCATGTGCATTGCTTATTAGGTGTTCAATCTATAGGTATGTGCACGTAGTGCATGTGGTGTTTCTTTACAAAGTGACATCGCCAACTGGCATGCATAATACAGGATTTTTAGTCATTTTTTGCTGATCTATGTGAACGGGGATCGTTTTGACAATGTCTGTACATGAAATTTTTCAACAATGCAAAGGAAAAAAAGTACATTGTTGCTTTGTTAACATATAAGATAGCTCAGCAACTCTTGTGAAAAAAGATGTGCACTTAATTGTATTGAACGTGCACTTGTAGTGTACTTCAAATCTTAAAAGTATAATTTTAAAAACCTGCACTTGATGATAATATAATATTAATTAAACAAAAGGCCACCTACTTTAAGTACACTTTCATGACTGTTTCTTAACACACTTAATGAGACTTTTAAAAGTGTCATGTTTTAAAAATTACACTTATATACACATCAATATGTTAACGATCATATTTAAACTGTAACTATGAATTAAAATGTAAACTATTTCCATTTATTTGCAATTAACCTGCAGTTAAATGTCCAAAAAAACATTACATTCAGTTCACACTTAAGTATGCTGAAGTGTACTTCTTTTCACAAGGAACTGGCATCAATTTTCATAGAAGTACCAACTGTTAGAAAAAGGTCAGCTCTAGATGGGTTCTTAGTCACTTTTGAAATGGTAAAGCTTGCACAAATATATACACTCAGAAAAAATGTGCAAAAACAGCTTGTCGCTGGGGCAGTACCCTCAAAGGGACACCTTTGTACATTTATGCAATTTTTTCTAGTAGGACGCATAATATTATAATGAGTTCAAAATGGTAAATTAATCCAATTACTAGCAATGATGATGCATGCTGTTTTAACCCTAAATCAAGTCAATCCCATCCCAAGGCAACACTCTGCGGTTATCTAACAAGGCCTGTGAAACCCACGACTATGACAGAATTCACAGCAATCCTCAAACAGTTTAGTTCACGCTTCTCCCACATAGTGAGGCTAATGCGTCCCAGAGAGTATAGTGCCATATGGAGGATACTTGATAAACAACGACAGAGAAAGTGAGAGATCGATTTTAGTCGAGCCACTCATGTGGACCACATCTCTCATGAGATCAAAGTCCTGAGGATGTCAGCAGCATTTTGGTGGATCTAATCCTTTAAGACCAGTGGCTACAGGCGATCAGTAATGGAACGCACACAGAACCCTGCATTGTAGTCAAACGTGGCCTCAATTGATTGCTTTAGCCAGACTAAGCCACAAACAGGATATGACTGTTCACATCCCATAATTCTCTCTGCTCATGCTGGCTCACATTGACTGCTCTCTGCAGAGGCAGTAATGGAAAGCAGTTGGAATATGTCGCACTTAGCCAAAAAATGGCTTCTTTTCAATGTCTGATAGTTGGGCCCCAAAATTAAGGCTTAGTATTCAGTACCCTTAGGGAGGATTGTTTTTAATGTGGAGCTTTTCTACATCAAAAGTCATTAGAGCAGGAACAAAATAAGCCTTAAAGTGACAGTTCACCTTTAAGACTTTGAAAAATGTCTCATACATTCAATGGGTTCATTGATTTTCACTGTGAACAAAAACAGTTGAAAACAGTTTCTTAAAAATTTTGTGTTCCACAAAAGAAAGACAAATCTACCAAAATTGCCAAATTGACCAAAAAAATATGCAATATCAGAGGAATTTTAATAAAGAATTCACATATACTGTATGTCAGGCCATAACCGCTGTAGACATTAAGGCGTATTCTGAATAGTGCTCGTATTCAGAATAATGGCTCATCAAATATGGGTTTTTCAGCGATTCATTCTTAAGAGCCGGTCACATTGAACTTTTCATTCCTCGACTTCCATACATACGCATGCAAATGTGGGAGGCCAGACACAACCTCAGACAAAGAAGTTTCGCATTTTGTTGCGTTCCAAAGTTCAAGTTTGGTGAACTCCGCCCTGCGAATTTATATCGCGTGAAGATGTGCGACCAATAGAATATCAGCATGAGCTCTTAGTTGAACAAAAAAAAACACAAACTTGAAATTTGCAGGATCAAAGTGTTACAGTAAAGTGGCATAGACAGCTTGTTTTTACCTTTTGGATGTATTATATGTTGATATTGATATATGAATTATGTTTTAAAAAAAGACGATGCAGAGCATGATGTCATATTACGACCATCGCTGTGTCTGTAGATATTTTGCATGCTCAAAGTCTAGTGTAACAGCGGCTTTACACATCTACATTTGCTATCCTAAATCTTTTAATTTTTTCCTGTCCAACTAAACAAGTAATTATTTTTAAATGTCATATAAAATACAATCACTTTTCTGATCAGTAATATTTTAATAGCTTTTTCCAGTTTCTTTTTATTTGTTTATTTTGTGGCATTTTCTTCTCTGGTGTGAAATGGCTTGTCTTTATTAATCTCAGCGGAAATTAAACCAGTCCATGTCAGCTCTGTAGGAACTACAACAATTCTGATAAGATGGCCAGTGTATTTCTGATAAATGTATTTCTTTGCATATGTTGAAACATTTATGCAAAATGTATCTAGTCTATTTAAAATGTCTGCAGAGTTTAGTTTTTCTTTCTTTCTCAGCAACAATACCTGTGTATATATATAAAAAAGTAACAATAATAAAGTTTCCTGCATAGATAGATCTGTATCATTTAGGATATGAATACTCTGAAACTTTCGATTTCATCTATAAAGATGAAGTGGCTTATGAAGGACTCTGTATTTATGATGCTATAAAATGAATTCATTGTACGTTTATGACATTCCTGCAGAGTTACGATTCAATACTGTTTTGCAGCAATCCTGCAATTTTTCTCCACTCAAGTTCCCTCTGATCGATCCACAATCAGACAACTTTCCAATTATACATTAGCATTTCAGTTACAGATATCAAGTTTCCAACTCGCTGCTTAAACAAAGTGATGGGCTATGTCAGAATGAATCATTCTCTGTGTAAAAATTCTGATTTATGGCCACAGAGATCAGCTAGAAAAACACAATCCATCAGCCAGGTCTCAAAAAAATACAGAGCTTTAAGTGTTTGAGTGAGCTGTTACATTCTGAGGATGTTATTTGATGATGGCTGGATTTTTTCCATTACCAGCTCGAATTTGCATTGAGGACCATTAGAGGCACTCATCACTTCTAAATATTCAGCAAGTCAGCAAGAAAATCTGACAGCACATAGCAAATTTATAGATTAACTTGATAAAACAATGTATGTTATCTGAGGGTTTTAGATCCAGTCGCTGTGGAGTACAAAAATGTACAATTCATTATTAAGTTCATTGTAATAAAAAAAATAAAAAAGTGTAAAATGCAGTGGCAGGAATCATGCAGTCTAATTTTAGTCAGTCCAGTACATTTCTTTTGGTTTATTAACTGAATTTGAATCTCAGTCTTGTTGCTTGTTAATTAAACACTCTACCTAACATGTCACAAAGATTCATTAAATTGTTACAACTTGTTTTGGTTTCTTTGGTCGTATCTTACCTGTCTTCAGGAAGGAAGATTTCAGTGTGTTTTTTTTTTTTGGCAGCTCAAAATGTAGAAATTACCATGTGCTAGCAATTATATATAATTTAACTCAAAAAGTAATCAAAGGAGAGTGTGGAGAGTTTCGTTAACTGAGGCATTTTGAACATTATAATAATTAAATGTATATGCAATGATCTGACATATTTAAGGTGATTAGTGATTTTAAACTGAGCAGTTAAATGCCTCTTAAACCCTCCTCCCACATCTTCACAGTCTATAGTTTTTTAACTCATCATTGGCTGACTTGTTTTCCTTGTTTTCTTATTATTAACCCTGTAAAGCCTTACATATGAAATAATAGTCAGAAAAATCTTTCAATCAGTGAGAATACTTGCTAATATGACACACTAGACTTTATAAGGATAAGCATCGCTTATATTTTGCTATTTTAAAAGCCTTTAATATGTTAATCTGTTATTTGATCTTTGTCTTTCAGAAATGGATTCGCTGCGCATACTGCTATACTCTCTCATATTCCTACTGAGTGTGTTTGGTAACCTGCTCATCATTGTGGTTTTGGTGGTGAATAAGCGAATGCGGACGGTGACCAACTCATTCCTGCTCTCCCTGGCCATTAGTGATCTCATGATGGCTGTTTTCTGTATGCCCTTCACTCTTATTCCCAACCTGCTGGAGGATTTCATCTTTGGAGCTGCCATGTGCAAGATTGTGGCCTATCTTATGGGTGAGATGGACTTTCATGTCTTCTAACCTTAAATGAGCATGTTATTAATGTAGCCCACTAAATCACAAAGAACAGAACAACTTCTTTGCACTGGATATCCTGCTGGCATATGGGACCCAAGGAAAGTCTGTTTACTGACTGTATTCATAGCACTGGTAAAAATCACAAGCTTCAAGTGCTCTTGCCTAGATCTTCAGAACTTTATGTGGCTTTAAATCTAAAGACACTCATTATTCCTACTTTTTAATTTAGTCTATGCAGGCGCAGTTGGGATTGAAATAGTACTGTGACATGAATATTTAAATTAAGTTATTATTTTCTGTACAAACATGCCTTTGATTTTTCAAAAAAATGTTTGGTTACGTTTTCTTTTAATTATGTCAGTAGAAATTGATCATATAATGATGGTGAAAAGCAATAAAACTGAGTAGTAGGATGCATGGTATAGTAAAGAGCACTTTTAAATAGATGATTAGAGGATTTGGTGTCTCAATCTCAGTGATGGCCTGATGCTGTCTAGACCCAGGGATGACAAATTATTGCTTGAATTATTATTTAGACATTTCTGTTTTTCACTCTTTTCACTCCTTTTGTTGGTTCAGTTAATGCCAACAAAAATGATTCATGTAGTGGCAACACAATTGGATTAAGTAAACTTTCATTTTACACATTTAAAATAACATTGAACATTAATGCCTTCTGGCTTGCTTAGTTTGGGCCTGAAATACACTTAACTTTCAATAATTGATTATCAGTATGACCACACTGACTGACTCAAACTGAATAACGACATTGCTGCCTTTTGAAGAACTGCTTATAGCTGAATTGAACTCATTTTAAATTGACGAATTTCACAGTGTAATTGATCTGAACTGAACCAAACACTGAAATGACTTAAGCTCAATTATGACACTATTGTCTTTTAGCTGCTTTACAGCAAAATCTGAACTGATTCTAATTCTAATTGATTGTGTAATTATTATATATATATTTTTCTGTTTTGATTTAACTTAGTAATTCATGGCCATGAATAAACCAGTTGTGGGAACGAAATCTTAATTCATGGCCTCACACACACACACACACACACACACACACACACAGTGCTTAACAAATACCACCCAAATGAAAGGTTTGTGCCACAGCTGGCCCAAACTAACAGTATTGGTTAATTGTAATTGTAATTGTTAATCCACCAGTATGTGTGATCTCTTTAGTCACAGTAGTATTTGTAATGCCAAAATATAATTAATTTAGTTACCCATGAATTTTTGAATTTACTGTTTTACATGAAAGGCAGAAAAAAAAGCAAAGCACTTTATTATTATTATTTTTTATTCAGATGCCCAATTACAGTCAACAAATACAGTCCAATAAATTTGTTGAGCACTGTATGTTTATTTGTGTAATATTTGTGTTTTCTCTTTATTATGACAGGTGGTCTAATAAATGTGTTAAGCACTGTGCTTAACAAATTTATTAGACCACCTTTCATAATAAAGAGAAAACACAAATATTTTAGGAATCTGTCAAAAACTTGCTTAAAACTAAAGATTTTCTTCTAATTTATTAGGCAAATAACAAACTGAAACAGTCCTTATTCACACATAATAACCAAAAAACTTAATATAAAAACTTAAAATGATGTGACGGCTACGGTTTACACACTTTGGTGTTTCCTGTACAAATTGCAGAAACTGTTGCATTGTATTTTAAATAATAATCCATTATTATGGTATCATGTATTTCAGGGTTTGGCTCATTAACAATACTGTACTGTAAAAACAACACAAATAATCTGCGATATGAGCCACACTATAAAACACAAGTCAAACTGGGTAGGTGAGACTACTCTTCATTTGTAATACAATTACCAGGATGTCAGATTTTGGCACCCACACTCGCTTTGAGAAATTGGCCACTGATGTAGACATATGTATGCATGCATCCAGCTTGATCTGCACTGTTTCATGGATCACTACCTCCCTAAATGAAAGTCAAGGCTCACCCAGCAACAGCCGACACAATGCCAAGGTCAGATCTGACACACATGGGCTGCTGGCAAATGGCTTGAAGGGGCAAAAAAATCAAAAGACAGTTCTGTTTTGGACATCAGTGGACAATATTGTTTTGCATTTGCATAAAAGTTACAGGCACAAGGAACGATTCAGGTACAGTGGCCTGAAAACAATTACACTGTCATGTTCTTTTTTTTTTTTTTACTGGCATGCACGGGTGATCAGATAGCGTTTCTAAAGGATGTTTTTCTACTGCATTATGTTGACTGTCTGGTGGAGGCCCTGGAGGTGACACAGTTCACAAGAGAGCAGATCTTATTTGCTTGAGTGTGTGCGAGTGCCCGCGGCCCACACAGTGTCAGCAGGGCCGGATTAACATAAGGGCTAGGCGGGGCTGAAGCCCCAGGGCCCGTGGATTGAGGGGGCCCTACGTGATTGGCTGTGGAGGAAAGGAAAAGTAGACCTAGAATTGATTGGCCATCGGGACCACCTGAGCTTTCCCGGTGTGCCGATTGCAGAAATCCCACCATGCCCCCACATATTAGTGTCTGCGCTATTTCAGTCCAAAATATATGAGCGATAAAAATGTATTTCGTTTACACTAGAGTTGTGGGTATCTTTTAATCGCCTTGGCTTTACTGTAGCGCATGGGAAACAAACACTAAAAGCCAAGTTATGAAAGTTACCTGATTAAACCGCGCAGCGCAAGAGAACAGCTGGACCACACTGGACCAGTGTCTCCCGCCGGCCCAGCGCTGACAACAACTGCAGCTCGACACTTTCGCCGCTCTATTGAAGTGATAATAAGCAGCGCTTGCCCATTTGAATTCCACACATGGCACATATATTTGAACAGTAAAGTGTCTGTGGTGTAGCTAGCGGAAACCAGATTGAATAGCACTGACCATGCAAACTGAAGTGTAGAGGTAATCTGTACAAAACTGTAAATAAGCAATTTAATCCACATCACCACACCTAGGCTATTTAACATGCATTTACTGACACTGTAGAAATATGGCATTAATGATATTTATTATTAATGCCATGAAAATTATTATAAGTTAATTATAGCCTATTAAATATTGGGCCAAATAAAGGCAATAAGTCCCTTCTATAAGGGTTTATTAATACTATAGTTAACTCTGGATTCAAGAATTAGCTTTTCATTAGGGCAACTACAAAGGA